CGGACAGTCCTGGCCAGTGTGGCTCAGTTGACTGGCATCGTCCCATGCACCAAAAGGCTGCTGGTTTGACTCCCAGTCAGGGCACATGCCCAGGTTGCAGGATTAATCCCCAGTAGGGTGTGCCTAGGAAGCAGCCAATCGGTGTTATGTCTCACATTGATGTTTTCTTTCTCCCTCTCTCTTTAAAAACCAGTAAGTGTCGGCTTTAGCTCAAGTGGTTACTTTTTTTTTTTTTTTAATCCTCACCCGAGGACATTATTCCATTTTTTGTCCAGATAGAGTGGGAAGGAGAGAGAGAGAGAGAGAGGGAGAGAGAGAGAGAGAGAAACATCGACATGAAAGAGACACATCGAATGGCTGCCTCGCACATGACCCAACCAGGGCCGGGGACAAACTGCAACCGAGATACATGCCCTTAGTGGGAACCAAACCCAGGTCTCTCTGGACCACAGGCCGACGCTCTAATCCCTGAGCCAAACCGGCCAGGGCTCAAGGGATTATTTCTTTATGGCAGGCATAAAAAATCAGTAAAAAATCTTAAAAAACAATAATAATAAAAATCTAACTGAGAGCCAGACTGAGTACATGGATGAGATATTTCTTGCCTTTGGTTTTACACAAAAATTCAGCAAGAAATAACAGCATCTGGATAAATATAAAATAATATTAATTTATGTTGAGAAAACCAACAATGTGTCAGATAATGTCTAGGTCCTTGAAATATTCTTCATTATCATTTTACCATTCTATCCAAGTCTTCATGGTGAGAGATAGAAAATGTTGAGGTCTACAGCCACAAAACACCAAAAACATACTGTGAATGGAGTTCATTCTTGCTCCAAGGCTTGTCTGGTTCCCACTATGAATCACCAAGGCCAGGGAAATCACTTAGGAAATGTGAGCTTTCCTCCTCAGCAAAGTTGGTAAGATTAGATACAGTTAAAATATGTGCACCAGCAGGCCCATCTCCCCGAAGGGAGACAAGACACAGATGGGGAGATCTGAATGCTTCTCGTGTATAATTCAGGTTTGCTTTTAGTGTGCCATTAAGGATTAATTAAAAATTAATGCACTCCCCATTGCCTGCTCCAAGAGGAAACAAATGCTTGTTGAGAGTCGTAGATCTAAAGTGTTCCAGAAGTGGGTTTCATTTTGATTTACTAGGGATGTTATGTGAGAAGGACGAACTCAATCATATATCAGACTCTTAGGACAAACAAGAATAAACTTTTTCTTCCTGCCTTCATTCATTTATTCCACAAACATTTACTGAGCACCTACTATGTGCAAGGATCAAGGTTTCTTTACCTCAAGACCTGGCAGCAAGCGTGTGACATGGAGCGACAGAGGTCAGTGTTCACCCGAGAAGAGGTCTGGACGTTCTGACGAGTGGTGAGGAGAGGCTTTCTGCATAGGTCCTTGGAGGAACGGGGGACGGTGACAGGGAAAGATGGCAGAGGGAACAGCAAGCTCCCATAGCGCAAAGGCAGACACCCAGGAGCAGTGAGGACTACAGCTCCAAGCATAGGCTGGGGCGAGGCCGCGAAGCGCTCTGAGTACCGCGCTCAGGGGTTTCGGTTTGACCTGTATGCCAGCGGTTCTCAAAGCGAAATCTCTAGTCCAATAGCAACCGCATCGGCTCGGGTCCTGCGCCAGATATGCTGAGTCAGAATCTCAGGATGGGGGGCTGGTTTAGCAATCTGTAGTTTAACAGACCCCCCAGTGATGCTGGGCTTGCTGAAGGTTGGGAGCCAGGGCTGTAGCCGGCCCTTCCAAACTGCTGTGTGCGCAGCGACTGGGTGGCAGGTGGACTGGAGTACAGACCCCTGGTCTCGGGTGGCACGGGCCAAATCCGCCCGGTGGCCTGTTTATGTGGGCGACCCCATTCCCTAAACTAAGAATGGCTTTTACATTTTTAAAGGATTGTTAAAGAGGAAAGGAAGAGGAGGAGGAAGAAAAAGATGAGGAAGAAGGAGGAGGAGGGAAAAAAAACAGGAGGAGCGGGACAGTAGGTAGAATGCAGCCTTGGAAACCTAAAATATTTACTGTCTGATCCTTCATGGTAAAAGTTTGCTGACCTCTGGTGGAGACGAGGAGAAACTGCTTTTGAGAAGAGAAATAGGTCCAAAGAACGAATCAAGGACCTTGAATATAACTGTGCAGAAAAGAAAAAGTGAAAGGACATGGAAGCAGAGAAACCACACACTGAACACAAGTGAGGTGGTAAAGATCTAAACAATGCAGTGTTCTTTGAAGAGAAAGAAGAAATAGGTCAATAATGTTTATAGATATAATATGATTTAACTTTACATGGACTCAAACACTATTCCACAGCAAGGTTCTCAACAACTAAAGAAATCACAGACTAGCCCGGCCGGTGTGGCTCAGTGGTAGAGCGTCGGACCCTTGCACCAAGAGGTCGCCGGTTAGATTCCCGGTCAGGGCACATGCCCAGCTTGTGGGCCTGATGCCCAGTGGGGGGCATGCAGGAGGCGGCCAATCGATGTTCTCTCTCATCGATGTTTCTCTCTCTTTCTCCCTCTCTCTCTAAAAATCAATAAAGAAACAATAAATAAATAAATAAATAAATAAATAGAAAGAAATCACAGCCTCCATCCAGCCCAGCCCAGCCTCGGGATCTGGCTTGCTTTGGTTTTCGGAGAATAGTACAGTTTTGAAAGCAGAGGAGCCTCTTGCTTAGTGTGGAATAAAAACAACCTCATGTTTACATGCATACTGGGGGTTGAGAATGACCTCTATAATATTTAATTATTGTCTAGACGTGATATGCATAGAGATATCCCAGTTATCTTCTTAAAATGCCAGTTCCAGTTGAGAAGGTCTGGATGGATCTGAGGTTCTTCATTCCTAAGAAGTTCGCAGGTGGGCACCACACTTGAGGTCGCAAAGGTCTAGACTGAACATCGGTGGTTATTTGAAAAGTAAAAATGTAAGGCCACATATTACGCATGGGAAGTCATTCCTCCATCCACAGACATCTGCTGTAATACATGACGTCATTGGTCATCAAAGCACACCTGCCCCTGCTATTGGTCACTGGGAGTTCTGTACTATTGGAGGGTAGTTTTCCGGGACACGTGCCTGGATACGAGATGAAAAGCAGAATGGAAGAAAGGGCAGGAAAAGAGGTAATGGGTATGATGGGTGGAGAAGACCTGCAGATCCTCCCACAAGGGCCAGAGGCAGTCTGCCTAATGGTTTGGGGAGTCGCAGTAGCTTAGATTTCAAATCCAGGCTCCTCCGCTTACTAGCTGCATGATCTTACATACACTCTTACTTTTTTTCCCCCCGATTGTCCTTCCTCCATAGATTGGGATAACAACCTCAAAGAGCAATTATAGGGAGGAAAAGAGAGAATGTCAGAAAATAATGTAATGCAGTAGTGATACTATAAACTTTAATAAAAACTAAATAATTATAATCTTTAATTATAAGAGATAAAAAGTATCAGCTTGAGATGCCAAGGAATCTTTAGAAAAATACATATAGTCATGATTGTTTAAGGCTTGCACTAGAGGGTGGGTACGCATTGCAATATTTAGAAAAGCAATTTGACAGAGACAGATGGTTTAACACAGCTTCAAAGGAAATGCGTTTTATATCTAAATTATATTTCTAGGTTAAAATAAAGACTGAACCTTTATTTGTTAGGTGGAAATATATCATGGAATCACACTGAAAGTAAAACTTCAGCCAAGTGTCCTGTCTCGGCTGACAAGGCAAATTTTCACATTTTCGTCAGGAGCGCTTTAGCAGCTGGGAGACAGCCTGAGAGGAGACATACATTGTGTCACTTCCTCTCACTTCAATGAATTGCAACTCTCTAGGTCTTCACCGGGACTCCAAGCCCTTTGCTGCTTTATTGTTCTCTGGTGTTACCCCACTCACAGTGTCCCTCACGAAGCTTCCCTTCCCTCCGCTCCTGCCGACCCCACGGAGGTGCGGTAGACAGAAAAGCAGGCCTTTGGTGCAGAGGCCTGGGACCAAATCCAGAGTGGCCTCCGCCCCTGGAGACCTGCATGGCCTCGGAGAAGGCTCCTTCTCTGAGACTTTCCTTACTCATGGCGATACCCTCTTTGGTGGATTGTGGAGGATGAGAGATAATGTTTGTTAAGAGTCTACATTGATGCTGTGCACAGAAAATAAGCGAGGAACATGGGCCTTTGTTATGGGTTATGATTGAAGTATCAACTCTTGCGCCACCCATTCTAAACTGTACTCTTGGAAGCTCCGAGGATAGAAGCATTTTTACCTCCTTTAATATCCCGAGGTGCATTTTCTTTGCATCTGGTTACTTTTATATGTGACATTTTAATTATTTGATGTACAGATTATGTCCTCTATGGGAATGAAATCTCCAGGAGAGATTTAGGTTTCCAGATTCGTGTGTGCCCTGCATGGAGACAGGAGCTTGCAAATCATAGGTGCAGTAATAAATGCTCAGTGGTGTTTCTCCTAATAGAGCAAAAATCCCTTTCTGACAGGGCTCACATCAAGGTGTTGGTGTACTTCTGGTTTCTCCTGAGTTCTCCAACTTGTCAGTGCCCTACCAGATTGAATTACACCAGACACTAAAGGTTTCACAATATTTTCCCTCAAGTACGATTTATTTAACAGTCATATACAATAAGAAATATAGAGAACTACAGCAGAATAAATCACAAGAATTGTAGCTTGTCATGTTATAATGAAATAAAAGAGGTACTGGTTAAATGAAGAGGCATACGAAAAGGTTGGGTATATGTCAGGTAGCTGGGGATAAAAGTGCAAAGCAGGACATTCAAGGTGCAGCCGCCTAACTCGTCAGTCTCTTCTTCAGGGTGACTCCAGGCTGATGTCCGCAGAAGGGGTGGCCACTGGCAACCCCTGCTCCGACACCCCTGATTCGCACTAGTCAGTAGCTGGAGCTGTCTTAGAGAGGGAAGGAAGGAGGAAAGGAAGGAAGAAATGAGGAGGTAAAAAGACAAGCAGAGGGGAGGGAAAGGAAGGGAAGAGGGCGAGAGGGAGGGAGATTGGGAAGGAAAGAGCACATCCACAGGGTGACAAGTCTTCTGAAGAGAGGGAGCAGGCTTTCTCCGCTTCTTCTGGAAGTTCAGCCACAGTCCCCTATATGTCATGTCACCTGGAGAATTAGGTTAAAGTTTACATACAGACATTGATCAATTCATTATATGCCTCTATTTTTTTTAGTAACAAAGTCTATAGATCTTAAGGTAGTCATAGGAACGAAGTGAATATGTTTCCCATGACACTGGAGGAGGAGTGTTTCAATTTGCTTCTCCCTCGGGAGATTCCATAGCCTCACTGAAAGACAACTGGCTCAACTAGGAACAAACGTAAGTAGGCTTTGCAGAGTCAAGTCCCATTTCAAACGCAGAATGTTTTCTAGCTGGTAAATAACTACTTGAAGAAAATACATTTAAAGTAGTAGTTACAGCGTCTCCATAAATAAAAATAAAAAAGACCTTTTTTAAAGGACAAAAAGTCACCATGATGTACAAATCTATACATTTCCCCCAACACATCATTATAGATCAATCTTTACGGCTTACATTTAAAATATCAATTGCATTATAATATCTATGATACAATTCAATTATATAGATGTCTCCTACACAAGATTCAGGTGAAACAAAAGCTAAGAACTGTATTCACAGAACATTTAAAAGCGCTTTATGCACAGTCTATGCACAAATATATCTTAAATTAGAATGATGCATACCTAATATGCATATAGAATATGGCTTACACATTAAAAGAGATCTAAGTTGTGAGTTATAAAATCCCACTCTTTAGACTTAAAAGCTTCTGGTTGTATCCATTTCTAAAATATTGCTTTGCGTTGTGGAACCCAGAAAAGAAGCAGGTGCAAAAGAAACTTTTTAGGATGGACACACCGTCCTTCACTTTAATTGATGGCTACTCTTGATTTCTTTCCATCCAATGTCTGCCTTTCAAAAACCAAAGTCACTCAGCCTCACAGTCATTGAAGTGTTTACAGTGAAAAGTTACAACACCGAACCGTGCTTGACTTTTCTTGTCAGCTAATAACAAATAAAGGGAGTTCTTCAGTTTGGAGCAAAGGCCAGGCTCTGCACATGCTCAGGCAAAACATGACAAGGGAGCAGAGTCTCCACGGGTAGTACTGTTTCTGTGTAGTAAAAGGTAAAGTCACATCAAATAATGCTATCTGTACAGAAAAGTGTGGGCGTCCATTCTCAGAGATGGTTTTGAGTACACACACACACACACACACACACACACACGTCTTGTCTCTTATCCCTTGGGCTGTGATATATTCTGTTATGTCCTGTTGGGATCAACATCCCAGAGGGCAAAATTCCATTCTCATTTCTCATGTCTGCCTCCCACGAGAGCAGAAGGTTCTGCTGGGCTGGACTGCAGGGACTGTGTGACTCCCGTGCCGACGGCATCCATGCAGGTGATGCGTTCGTGCTTTGAAGCCACGGGGATGGGTGCAGGCTGGTCTGCTGGTTTCCAGGGCAGGATGCACTGTGGATTCCCAGCTTGAGTGATGACGACATGTTGATCAGGTCGCAGGCCCAAGGCTATAAGTCTCCACTGTTGGTTTAGGACTTCGATCACAGCTGCTGAACAGTCCTGCCTCTCATTTTGTTCCCAGGTATTTAAAATAACAGGGACGATCTAAATGGCCTGCTGCTCAGAGCTGTAAAAAATATTTTTCCATAATTTTGTTTTTGCTTTCCTTTTACTGAAGACCTCAAAAAATGTGCAGTTAGAGCACTCCGTGTAAAACAAGGCAGAAGGCGCATTTTGAGAACGCCTCATCTTCCACACACGTGTTGCATAATCACCTATGCTAGAACTGGTCAAAGTGATGACACTTTAAAACCGCCCAACTTTTGTCTTAAAATTTTTTCTGGATTGATGGAAGAAGGCTAAGTCGTGGAGGAAAAATAATGGCAGAAGCACTGCCTCAAAACTCTGATAGCAAATTTGAGTGTATTTATTTGGCCAGTTACTAACAGAATGTGTGATCTTCTTATTCATTCCTCATTGAAGAGTCCAAGAAAGGGCCTGGTCCCAGTGTGTGCTGAAAGAGGAGAACACAGGTCTGCAGAGAGCTGAGGAATTAGGATGTTTTAGTACTGTTCTTATTATCCTGAAATAAAATTCAAATGAATATGAAGATCATGTCTTAGTCATACACAGACATTAATTATTGTATTGCAATTTCCCATTGGACTTTCTCTACCTTGTTGAAAATAAATGATTTGTCAGTATATAATAGATATCGATTTTATATCAGTTAGAATTAATTCCTCTTTCTATTTCTTCTCTTTGTGTGTGCGTGTACGTATGTGGGAATGTATGTGTTTGTTTTGATCCCAGTAATGATTTTGATCCTTTGGATCAGAAGTCACACAATTAAATCAGTGGGCTTATGTGAGTGTAAAACAAGGACTATACTGAAGTAAAGAGCATAACCCCTGTCTAAAGATGTTCAAGAATATATTTTAAATCCGTGTAGAAGTCAGACAATGCAAATGCACAGGCTACATCCAGTCCCCAAACCTTCAGTTTTAGCCTCTTCTTGAGTTTAGCCCACAAACTCAGCCTGCGGGCCAAACATGATCCTCAAACCTATTTTGTTTGGTCCATATAGTGTTTTATAAAACTTTGAGCCAATATTAAACATTGGAAGATTTTTACAAAAATAAAAAATCTCTTAACCAGCAGGAACACCAAGAAACACTGGGCCCTCATTTTCACATGGTGAAACTCTGCCAGAACTAGAGGGTGGCTGGTTGCGGCCCTCGGGTCGGGTGTGCCGTGCTCTCTCTGTCTCCGGGGCTGACCAGGCCTGTTTCCTTCGACACTACGCCTGCATCACAGTTGTCACCACTCCTGTTGTTTTCCGACTTCCCACTTCCATCATGTAAGAGACCTGCCTGTGCCTTGCAGACATGCGCACTTCACCTACCCGATCCCTGGGAGGTTGTGCACGGACAGCACTTTCTCCAACTGAGGAGAAAGCTAATGCACCTAGTAGGTCCTGATGAAAAAAAATATATACAATTGTCCAAAAGTCTGCTGGCCGCTGGGGCTTGAATATTGCTGTTTAGTTTGAGTATGTCTCAAATTTTTCCAGCTTTGCTGGTTTTTATATTTATAAAAAGGAGAGACTTCAACTGCCAACAGAATCCCATCAAAATCTTGTACTGATGAGATGCCAGAATCTTACAGATAATTTTCTTTTTTTGCCTTAGACATTTTCATATTCGTCATCTTTACAAATGTATCGGTCACTGGTTTCCTACATATAATTTTTGGAAAATGTTCATACATATTCAGCTTGATAGCATAAATGTATAGGAAATGCTGAGCTTAAACTTTTGTGTTTGAAGCTATATAGTGTTCATTGGTTTGGAGGCATGCCGTAGGAAAGAATCTTGCTGAATTTTGTTTAACTCCATTTTCTAATGGCATTCATTTGACAACAGAACCTTTGTACTTAAACATCTATAAATATTCCACTGAATTCGTTTTCCCTAAAATACACTTTGAGGGCTCCATCGTATATTGTCAGGCCACAAGGACTCTTCTAAAAACAGCTGTGAGCTCTAAAGGTAATACATTTATCGTCTGGATAAAGGGGAAGGAGAGAAATTTCTGTAGCGTATACAAGACAAGTATATTAAAATGGTTACATACAGAGATGGGTTTTAGTTGCTGATTTCTATTCAACCTTCACATGAAAAACAGGAATCACAACCACTAACTCTGGAATTGTTGCGTGAGATAATGCGTAAGATGTTCACCACAGTGCCTTATACTTGGAAGCTGCTATTAATAAAACTATAATTATCAATAAGTCTTATAACCAAGTGGAAAATACTGAGAAATGAATCATCTTAAAAACAAATCACATTTGATCTCTTTCATATCTAAACTATGATAGCATCTCAAACTCTTAGTATGGTGCCTTCAGCATTTTCTCCTCCCCTCCCCACCATTACTCCAACAGGATGGATTAGAACACTTGGGCTTGGTTTCTTACTTTTCTAAGGAGACACGAAGACATCTCCACTATAAACACACATCCCTCCCTTCTAACTACCTGCCCCTCCTCTGAAGGCCCAATACAGTGGTTCTCAACTTTAGCCTACAAAAGTATCAACAGATGGGTTTATGAAAAATCAGATTTCCAAGGCATCACTCGCAGAGTTAATAATTTGGTAGATTGAAGGCAAACCCTACAAGCTGAATTTTAATAGAACCATGGAGGCACATGTCCATGGATTTTTAGAAAATATTGATGTTTCCTTGGTAACAGGAACATGTTATTATCACCTGTTGTGAAGATTCATGTTTCCTACATGAAGCAGAAACAGAAATCAGGATTAAACCTCCCCATTGACTGTAGCCTACTATTTTTTAAGAACTAAAATGTCTCAGGAAGAATAATTTTTATTGAAAAGCAAATTAAGAACTCTTTGAAAAGGTAAATATTTCAGATTTGCCTCAGAAGACAGAAAACAGAGATTTAAAAAAAAAAAAAAAAAAGAATACGGAGGGCATTTCAATAAAATGACTTTGTCTTTAGTGATATTCTACAAACCATTAATTTCAGAATTTAAGTTTCTTATCTAAATATTCTACAAACCATTAATTTCAGAATTTAAGTTTCTTATCTAAACAATAATAATTACCTCTCATGTTTAAAGTGACAGAAGCCTTCACGGTGTTTCAAACCTATGAATGTGTATCAGCACTTTTTTCTTCAGCATTTACTTGATCTCCTGAGTTCTTACGAAGATCAGGTTCCCCTAGAAGACAAGCAAACAAAAACCAAATGGATCCGTGAACAAAACGAGTAAGGTCAGGAAACGGAAGCCATCAGTACAACGTGGAGGACTGTCACATGATGGATTTTGTGGCACATTTCTCCAAAGAGAGCAAACATTTTCTTGTCAGCCTGTGGGATTTATAGGGTATAACAAATCATCTTCTGGCCATTACACAACTTTGTGAAGTTGCAATTTAATCTGGGAATACAGAAATGGAACAGGGGAGACATGTTTAAACATCTATGAAAGCAAATGTAAATAAAAACTATGCATGTTTTTCCTGAATATTTTTAATTAAAACAAATTCTTTTTGAACAAACCCTCTAATGATCAGTCTTTTACCACACATTGCTTAGTTGCTATGAATTCAAAACAAATGAGTATAAGAGAATAGTAATTTTTAAGATAATCTGCCAAAACAAACTAATAGAATTTATCATTTTAGAGTCACTCGGCTTCCAAATAAACCTTGAAGGAAAAAAATAAGAAAACATTCGCATAGAAAATGGTCCATTTATAGAGAGGTTTCGGGGACTCTATCAAAACTGAAATATAAAGCAAGACGTACAGTTAAAAGAGTCTTAGTATATGAGAAAGAAAGCAAACAACCATCACAGAAATTAATTTATGAGTCAATTACTCAAAATACCTGGATATTTTAGGAAATAGCTTTTTCTGTCTGAAGTTTAATTGAAAATATATTAACAGTTAAACTTTGCACCAATTAACTAAGAGATAATTCCTTCAACATGTGTTGCAAGCCTGCATTATATCAGTTGCAACAGATTTTCTATGGAGCTTATAAAATTAGTGAACATATAGAACTCATAGGGTGCTATCACAAAGTAAATTTATTTTGTCTCTCACTTTATTTTATTTAAAAATTTTTTTTTCTTTATTGATTTTAGAGAGAGAGGAAGGAGGAGGGACAGAAAGACAGAAACATCAATGAGAGAACACTGATTGGCTCCCTCCTGCATGCCCCCCAATGGGGATTTGGCCCACGACCTGGGCATGTGCCCTGACTGGGAATCGAACCAGCAACCTCATGGTGCATGGGTCAACACTCAACCACTGAGCTATACCAGCTGGGCATCCCACTTTATTTTTAAAATATATTGTACCAGGATCAAAATTTCAGACAGTATCATGACTTTTCTGATCATTCTTAGGTAATGAAAAATCGTGTGATCCTATTAAGTTGCCAAAGTCTCAACTCAGATGTTAGAAGTTCTGATCACATGAATACACATCAATCTTAAAACAAAGAAAAAATTTCTTTCCAACATTGAGTTTGTTAGAGAGTCCAGAAATGGTGTAGGGGGTGGGGCATGGTTGATGTTTTTTCTTGTTTTGTCCACCCTCCCCCAAATGACTGCCTTGCCCTCTTGAGCTGGAGAAAGGAGAGAAGACGCCCGCCAGGAGCTGCAGTTTCTCCGTGACCAGCACCACTGTCAGGAGTTCAGAGCTGAATCTTCTGGGAGCACATTCAGGGGCTCTTCGGGGACTTCTTGCCAAGGACAATGGTTAGAGACTTTCACCACTTTGGTATGGGCACATGAGACTCTGGTTCCTTTACAGTGTCCAAGACCTCTGGACATTTGTAGGTACCTTTCACGTTTCTATCTGCTGAGGTACTACTGCCCTTGCACATGTGGGGGGGGGGTATTTGTTCACATGAAGCACTTGTGAAGGAAATGTATGCATTAGTTACTTGAGGAAAGGCTGAAGTCTACTTTGGTCATCTGTCATCATCTAACCCTTTATATTTCTCATGTAAGAACTGGACTCCATTAACCAAATGCCCTGAACTTCAAGCCCCAGCTATTATGGTGAAACTCTCTTTCCTTGATCTGTGATGAAGAAGGAAGCATTTCTACGTTTTTCCCAGTCGCAGAGGGCTCATTAAAGAAGTCTGCCTCACGAATCCTTTTGCAACTGTCAACCTGACCCTTTCACTGTTTGAGTTGGGTGAGGGCAATGAGCATCCTATAATTGGCTTTTGAAACTACTTTGAAATGTTTGTTTCTCAAATCAGTTTGTTTCTGACATTTGTTATCTTAGAGTCTTGGCTTTAATATCCTGTTCCTTATGACTAGATTATAAAAAAAAACAAAACAAAAAAAAACACAAAAACGGACTACAAAGAACAGAACAGAACAGAGTAGAAAAAATACACTGAATTAAAAGACAAGAATATAAGTAATTAATTCTCTGGCTCTCAAAAATTTTTACAATGGGCAAAGGACACTGAGGTCCACCTACCAGCAACTGTTCTTATACCGAGTGGATAAAGGACTCACCAATAACAAAGGAGTTGACAAGGAACAAAATTAGCAAATAGTAATAATGCCATAATTACACACACACACAAAAATGATACACAGATTACATCCAAGTGTAATTCTATATATGTAATTAGAAAAGTAGCAAATAAAAACTATGACCAACTCAAGAATTTTGCAGCATTGAAAACAAAGTGTTTTCCTTGAGAAACTGTAGAATATCAGATGTTTTCAGGAGCAATTGCATGGCAGCCAGATTGCTTTGGAAAATCCCGGAGTCCTCAGCAAATTCAACAGAATTAAAATTAAGCAAGATTTTTTCCTACCAAACGCCTCCAAGCCAATGAACATTATATGGCTAAAAAAAAAAAGTGTAAGGTCAACATTTCCTATGCATTTATGATATACGAAAACTGTATGTAGGAAACATAGGTTACCAGTACACTTGTAAAAATGACAAATATGAAATATCTATAGCAAAAAAGAAAATTATCTGTAAGATTCTGGTATCTCATCAGTAAAAGATTTTGATGGGATTCTGTTGGCAGTTAATGAAGTCTCTCTCTTTTTGAAATAACTCTTGGTTGTGGAATCCTTTACAATGAACTCAGATAATACTACTTGGAAGTAACCCTTCATCTTCCATAAAAAAGAGAGTCATGTCATTTTGACTTATCACTCTGCCAGAGAAGAAATGTTTTCAATCCATCAAAGATCATTTTGGCTTAAGAGTGATTTCTTTGAAACGACATGGAGGAACCTGGAGGGCATTATGCTAAGTGAAATAAGCCAATCAGAGAACGACAAATATCACATGATCTCACTTACTTGTGGGATCTAATGAACAAAATTAGCTGATGAACAAAATAGACCCAGAGACATAGAAGTAGGGTACATGACAAACTTCAGAAGAGGAGGTTGGGAGGAAAGGAAGAGATGTATCAAAGAGCTTATATGCATATCTGCATAATCAACGGATATAGACAACAATGTGGGCGGTGGGGCAGGATTGGGAGGAGGGTGTCAATGGGGGAAAAGGAGAAACATCTGTAACAAAAATAAATTAATAATATAAATAAAAGGCCATGAGGAACATCCATATAGTCCAAGGTTTCAAAAGTTTTTGAATCATGGGCCCTTGTAGTTTGGTGAAACTATGGCTTTCTCAAAACATAATTTATAAATAAATAGAATAAAATACATAGGATTACAAAGGAATCCACTCACATTAAAATATAATTATCAGCCTATTTAAATTATCTTAGTGATGTGATATAGTAATATATGTGCTTTTTGTTTGTTTTTAATTATCACCTGTCCAAGGTTTCAAGACTATCGAGTGGCTACATTCCACATGCAACCAGAATCTCCACCTCGAGTTCCACTATTTCCCAAGTTATAATCATCTGCATATCACGTTGACCGTTTCTGCCATGCTTATATACTGTCTATCCTTAGATACCTCACAACTCTCTTTAAAACAGACTTTAAATCTACTCTCTTTTTAAAAATTAGTTTTGTGCTAAATACAAATTTCCAAAGAAATAACAGGGTATAATTTATTACCTCCTATGTTTCTTTTTTGTTTCTCCTTATTATGAGTATATGCCTTATCTTTTAAATTAAATCTGTTAGTAAATGATAGCTCTTTTTTTTTTTTTTTCTTCCCTGAAGGCAGAGCCAGAGAGTAAGGATAAGTATACTTTTTTGTGAAAATATATTATTCAATATTGGACCCCAGCCAGTCTCAGCTAATTAATTACTGGGGTGCTCCTACTAGTCTTGTACAATTAGCCATTAAGTCAACAGTAAAAGGATCACAGTAAAAAAGATGTAGAGGAGCCATATGTGAAAAACAGGCTTTTCAGGAGGAAATTGACTTGGCTAACCTTAAACTGAATTACATATTGGACAAATTGTTCACAAATTCCACAGAAACACACACAGTGCCTTAAGCCAGTCTAACCCTGCTGTGCACTCCTACTATCATAAACATTTTTTCTGTCCCTTAAAATTTTATAAATCATTATTTATTTTCTTATAAATATTTTTTTTTATCCTCACTTGAGGACATTTCTGCATCCACCATCAGATAGGGAGGGAGAAAGAGAGAGAAACATCGATGTGAGAGAGACACATTGACTGGCTGCCACCCCCACGAACCCAACCGGGGCCAGGGATGAACTGCAACCCAGGTACATGCCCCCAGCAGGAACCAAACCTGGGACTCTCTGGTCCGCAGGCCGACGCTCTAACCGCTGAGCCAAACTGACCAGGGCATAGATAATATTTTAAATGACAGGCATTTGTTCAGAAAAACAAATAACGTTAATATAAAAGATAAATTACGCTTAGGAAAGTCATACTCCCTTTTCAATGCTCTAGAAAAGGGACAGCCAAAGTATAAATAGATGGGTCAGCTTTGTTGCAAAAATGTCAAAATTAGTAAGTATCTGTTCAAACAGCATGTATTGACATTCACATTGTCTTAGTAAAGAGAATTGCTACAAATGCCATTTCAACAGACATTTGAAAGCATAAAGACGCTGACGTAGTGTCAGCTGGATCTGTTCTCATGGCCCCTGGAAACAGCCAAGGAATTTGTAGGTGTTATTAACGTGGTTCACGACTCCAGTCGAGCGATCTGTAAAATGGGTTCCCTTTCTCTCACTGGTGGATTTCCAGCAAGTAGAT